TTGTGATGTCCAATCAACAGATCAACAGCGGTATCTTTGTTGATCAGTCTATTTATCTATACATACATACATACATACATACATACATACATACATACATACATACATACATACATACACACACACACGCATACATACATACATACATACATACATACATACATACATACATACATACATAGATACATAGATACTTAGATACATAGATACATACATACATACATACATACGTACATACATACATACATACATACATACATACATACATACATACATACATACATACATACACACACACGTGCATGCGACACAATTCAGGTGGAGTTGGTCCGGCATCCCACGGAACTGAATCATCAGGTAGCTAAGTTCATGGGCTTGATACAGCCTCGGCACTGCCCCTCTTGCGCAAGAATCTCCTTCACGGGTGTCTGGCTGCCACTCCGGATGTCCTTGAGCACGACCTGTAGGTCACTCACCTCAGGGCCTAGAGGTACGACATTCAGAGCTCAGCGTTTCCTATCAAACGCTGAAGTTTGCAGTCGCGCAAAGGTTCGGACAAGCGCTTACATGCCGTTTTGGTTTGCCAACCCAGCCTGCGAATCGAATAAGATGTCGTAGACATCCCCTTCCAAGGCAGTGCCACTCGAGCCGAGAGGAGTGTAGCTCGGCCCCATGCCCGTAGTCTGAACCAGTCCAAGAGGTTGAAACTCAACCTCTGAGGGACAGCGGTTGCCGATTTGGGCAATCTCAATCCGGATCTCAGCAAATCTTGGCGGACCAGGAAATTGTTGAATCTGCAGAAGTGGTTCCAGATCAGTTTGAGATCCTTTGCCCGGACCCTGCAGGAAGGCACCTGCCCACCGAATCAGGTGGAGCATGGGAACAGAGCTGTTGGCTTGACTTTCTGCCGTCGTCCCATCTGCATTCACAAGCGGCAGGGGCTTCCCGAAGCCTGTGAACCAACACTCCTCTGGAAAGGTCAGAGACCAAGGAAGCGAATGTGTCTCACGATTTGGGAGGCAACGCGAATCTAAAGCCGTGTAGACGACGATGCTCCTTGGCTGTGACTGATGACAGGATTTTGAGGTGAGTTCCGGAGATTCTCCTCACCGGGTGGTAGCAAGGTCTGATCCATATCAACTATTCTGGTAGTGCTGCTGCTCGCAAGAGACGTAAGGCTTTCCAGAATCCTGCACTCGAGAGGCTGTGCGGAAGCAGCCGCGGTACCTTGGCGACAGGTCTCGTGCCAGATGGCATGATGATTCCAGACATTGCTGGTAGTTATCGATACTAACACTATAGGTTCACGTGGTATTGCTCCGATACTTCAACAATTGCTGGCAGAAGCAACATCAGCAGCAGCAGCAGCCGCTGTGTGTCTTCGTCGTCGTCGTATCAGCAGCCGCCGAAGAAGTAGTCGTCGTCATCGTCGTAGTCATGGCGGTGGTGGTGGTGGTTGTAGTGGCAGTGGTAGTGGCTGTGGGCTTTGGAAAGTAGTGGTGATGGCGGCGGTGGCGGCGGCGGCGGTGGTGATGGTGGTGGTGGTGGTACTAGTAGTAGAACTCGTGATGGTTGTAGTGGGCTAGAAGCAGTGCCGTGGCGGCGAGAATCTACTATCACTGTCACCACAATTACTCCTGCCCCCACGTCCACGGCGGCGACGACTGCTACAATTACGGCGACGTATACTGACACAGAATCAACGGACGCCCAAATCCGGGTACGTTAACAAGCCGGACCCTCTCCGAAAGTGATCAGTATCGCTCTTGCACAATCTTCCCCTCCGCATCACAAAAAGCCGGGCAATCTTGATTCGCGTGAGGTTGCCACGGCGCACGGTTTGACGAAAGGAGGCCGAGGCCTCCGCACCGTGGCTGCTGACCACAAGGCGGCACACCTTTTCCAAGGTTTCGGTTCGCTGCAGCGTGCACTTGGGCATTTTTGTGGGACAAGCATACGGCTGTTTCCCTCTCGGTTGCATGCTATCAGTCACTAACCCATTCAGACAGCATGGTCGTTTACATACACGTGTCGTGAGCCCCATCCCCTAAACGATCCCTTATAAGGGTAGTACAAGTAGTAGTCGTTCTCACCGAATAAAGAATCAATGTAGGTACAAACATGCCAAGGCTTTTCGATGTCAAACTGTCAACCTACATGCTCACGTCACGCCGGTATATTTTGGGTGAGTATAGGTGCAAGAGCTGCGAGCGCAGCAGACTCATTCAACAGTCGAACCTACAAATATATATATATATATGCAAACTCTCGGCCTGGCGGTGCCAGCCATTTTGAAAACGCATGGTGCCTGCAGCTAGGAACCGTACGATGTCCCAGAATTGATCGTTGTAGTGATGACAACGGTTCAACGGCCGTGGCATGCTCCCAGTATTCAGGCCCGGAAGTCGCGCAAACAACACCAACATAACCAATAGCGCCAGCCAGCATGATGCGAAGCAGCGGGTCCCGGCAACATGTTGTTACTGCTGCCTTAATAGCCTGAATACATGAATAGCGTTTGCTTGGTATCGTTGGTGGTAGCAGCACCATCTGTACCATCATCGCCACAACCATCACCTTCATCATGTTCGCATCAACGGCAACAGCAGCATCACCATCATCAGCAGCGGCATCATCATCACCACCAGCATCAGCATCAGCATCAGCATCAGCACCAACGTCAGTATCATCATCATTACCATCATCGCTAACATCATCATTATCATCATCGTCATCTTTTTCATCATCATGCCAATTGGTCATTATCACGATGCACAACGTCCCCACGCCATCAGTATCATCCGACGACTCCAATACTGAAGCTCGGCTGGGAGTATTGACAGTATATTGTCCTGTCGTGTGAGCCCTGGGCGTAGGGTTTTGTGATAGGAGTTTAAGCTACAGTACGGGACCTCCGGTCCACACTGCCATCACAACATCTCTCCAGTTATCATCCTCTACATTCCTCTGTCCATCACGACATTCCCGCCGGACCATTGGTTCACCAGCCCGGAAAGTGTCGACAGCAAAGATCCCGTAAGCCTCACAAGCTCCTGTGAATGTGCCTAGCCTTCGCATGCCCAATGAACTTGGCCGCCTCGGCAGCGAAATCTGGGCCTTGGTGTCAGGCTGAAATGAGCTGGGACTTTCGGTGACATCAGTCCAAAACTGCAACCCTGACCATCACTCCTGAACCGCTTTCAAGGCAGTGTGTGGGAGCGCGGGACCGCAGAAATGTGCCGAAGGGCCGAAAGTTCCTGCACCAACGTCCATCGCAGCGGGTGCCTTACCGAAAGGACATGTCCATACCAAGGTTGCGTTGAACATTTTTATCGTCACAGGTTTGCTTTCGGGTTAAGGACCAAACAGAAACGACAAATAAAGAAAGAACGCTCCCCAGCAGGGACGTCTGCAACAACGCCGCTTGGAACACCCGGGGACACAGGTGGGATGTGCTGGTGCTTTATCAGTCCTGCAGACCTACAGAGGCCGCCCATGGCCAGATGATTTTGATTGGCACTCTACAGACAACGAGCACCCTAATTTCACGAGTCTTCGTGCTATTTGTCGGCTTGCCGACGGTATACTACCAGGGGTCAACACTTCGTCAACTTGTTCGGGATGACTTAACAATGCTTGTCTCCCATGGCTTTCCCAACCTGCAAAGCAATGACCCCGAACCGAGCCCTGCTTGCCTCTGCTCCGTTCAGAAGCACCAGAGCCATTTGGTTTGGGAGCCGGTAGCTCCTTGGGAAACGTGGAAGTGTACAAGCGGAAAAACTCAACCAGACACCAGTTGGGGCAAGAAGGCAGAAGGCGGTCCAACATGAACCAGGCAAAACTTGATGCATGCATGTATGCCATATATGTGCTAAAAGCTTCTTTTGCATCTTTGATGACTCCACTCCAAGCCTATATACACAGGCAAATCCTATAACCCCTCGACCTGAACCATAAACCCTGAAAGCAACCGTCAAACCCCGACCCTGAACCATAAACCCTGACAGCAAATCCTATATAACCCCTAACCGTGACCCTGAACCACAAACCCTGATTCTGAAAGCAACCGTGAAACCCAAACCGTGAAACATAAACCCTGAAAGCAAATCCTATAACCCCTAACCGTGATCCATAGGCCCTGCAGGCAACCCTGAAACCCAAACCCCGAAACATAAACCCTGAAAGCATATCCCAGAACCCCTAACCTTGATCCAAAAACCCTGAAAGCAACCCTGAAACCCAAACCCTGAACCATAAACCCTGCAAGTAAATCCTATAACCCCTAATTAACCCTGATCCATAAGCCCTAAACTCACTCATGAACATGGCTCTCGAGTGCAGCATAGACTTGGCAGATCCCCTTTGAGCCGGCAATGATAATGCCGTACCTCGGGTTCCGTTAAGGGCTCCTTTCAATTTCAGGGTACCACAAGTGGTCCTTGGAATTTGTGCAATAAGGGGGGCTCAATCAAGGCGCGCACTGTTTACACTAATCAAGCTGAGAAGGAAGGATGACATTCGCAAAGGGCCATGACAGCCATTGGTCCTTCGTCAATATACCAGGTTACCAAAACCAACATGACATGAGCTTCCCATATTATATATTGTCGGAAACCCGCTGAAAGGCACGTTGCACTGACCATGGGAAGACTCAGAGTCCAATACGTCACAGTGAAAGATTGCTCATCGCGCGACCCATTATAATTCAAGCAATGTTCCTTTCTCATGGGATACTCGAATCTCTGAAATTCGACCCTAAGCCCTTATAAACCCCAAACCCTAAGCCGTGCTGCGAGCCAGATTCCAGGAGGTGTCTCAGAGATGCTGCATAGCTGGCGCAGCGACCGTGGGCGCGCAGGGCCTGCGAAAAGGATAAGAGGCTTCCCGAAGCATCTAGCCAGCGAGTCCAGTCCTGTCTTTTCAATGCATATGTATGTATATATATATATATATTATTTATTTATATATATATATATTATATATATATATACCTATCTATCTATCTATCTATCTACTGAAGATTCGGAAGAGGCAATTTTTTCATTGGGTATAACATTCGTACGCATGGTTTGTAGGCAGCTGTAGCGCAGCTGTCACATTCGTGCAGAATCGGGGCTGGGAGTGCTGGTCGTGTTCCCACTAGGCTCATCAGGAGATATACACGCATATGTAGGTCACGCATGCGTGCATGCATACGTGCATACATTAAGTACATCACATTACATGACAATACCATACAATACCATACCATACAATGCATTACATTACATTGCATCCATTCACCCATTCATTCAACTAGTTATTTTCTTGCGACAGCCATCCTTTATGCTCATGTAATGTATGTCGTTTACGTAATGTATGTATATGTGTATGGTATACGTATATGCATATGCATATGTATGTATGTATGTGTATATGTATGTATATATGTATGCATGTATGCATGTATGCATGTAGGTAGGTAGGTAGGTAGGTAGGTAGGTAGGTAGGTAGGTAGATATGTAGGTATGTATGCACGTATGTAAGTGTCAACTCCTGGAACAGCAATCTCAACATGTAGAATCCCAGAAAACACACATAGAGTTGAGACTGTCAGTCAAGCCCGTAGCAGGGGCCCTGTGACCAACCCTTGCCGCTGGCAAAAGCAGCACAGCGAGATGGTAGTTATCGCAGGAACAGTGACAGTAAGGAAACATATTATTCATAGCCTTATGCTACATGTAGTTCGCTACGGTACATGCGCACACACACACACACAAACACAAGGGAACGAACGTAACATACCTACAGGTACGTACCTACGCACTCCTGTGTGTCCTTCGGTGTGCATACAGCAATGCAGATGGCTACATGTGGCGAGACTCAGGGGGCGAGAAAGAAACAGGAGACTCAGTGTGTATGGCAGCAGCAGTAGCAGCACCAGCAGCAAAATTGATACTGTATTGTGCGCAGGAGAAAGAAGCATGTGGATGCAATAGACCTTACGAAGCCAACCTCTGAACCCTGAAACACTAAACCCTAAACCCCGATTTCGACTGGACAGGGCTCCTGCCTTG